ACACAAGGTCTGCCCCGAGTCTGAAATTTGGGGTATAGGGGTAGCTCGGACCGGGGAGTGACATAGGCCAGGTGGCGTTAGTCTACCACTTCCGGTTTCGGAGTTATGACCCCCGAGCGAAGCCGGGTATCCTGCTAGTATATAGATAAAATAATGACAAATGGCCCCCATGACCACTAAAGACTGCGCTATTGGCAGGTTTAGGAGTATATTTGAAACCAGAACATTGTGACATGTGGTTATAAAATACGAAATTTTCGATGATACTATTCTGATTAACTCTAGATATTAAATTCGTGCGGTTTGTCAATGACGCGATACATCAAAATAAATTTTGCTGCTCGTTAGTCTTATCAAGTCGAAGATCGTAATTTCCGGTTGCCATGTATTCAGAAATCATATGGAGCTCAATGTAGCAATTTGTTAAGATCTTCATAATTTGCTGTTTACATTTTCCGTATATTTCGGAATAAGGGCTTGATCGTGACACTCGGTTATTTAAATGAAATGAAATGGGGTTTAACCCCTTACTTTTCTGCACGGACTGGGCTAATGGAGACGGACACTTCTATTTAAAACAGAAAACTTTAAATGTGCAGCGAATACCAGGGCACTTTGTAGTATAGAAAGTGTCTGACAAGGAAGGCTTGTAATCAAGCTGAGGTACCCTGTGTACCTCCCCCTCCCCGCGGTTATACGTGACAAGGTGTAGGGTCGCCTGTCCAACATTGTGGTTTTTCTCCGGGTCCTCCGGTTTTCTCCCATTGCTAAAGAACCCTACGCGCAAGCGAATTAATGAAATAAAATTGAACCATGTGTTAGTCCCGAAATGATCTAGTTTGTGTCGAATGGACATTAAACCCCATTCCTCTCTCTCTCTCTCTCTCTCACCCTGGGTACCATTGACAGTGCGTTAAAGATCACTGGGCAGTTGAAAACCGAAATTATAGTAGGCCGCAGCGCGGCTGTCCAGGGAAAATTCACCCCATAGCACACTGCATGTCGTATACCTGTCTTCGATGAACTTAGTGGGTGCAGAAAATTAAGACCTTAAATCCCATTACATTTCCTATTTTGATTTACCTAGATTCTATATTCACAAATCCTTTTAATACCATCTAGTGGATATTATACTTCCGTTTCTGTCAGAGTTCCTGATGAAAATATCTACTCTGTTGGATTATAGAGATTAACATCCAAATCATTCTACAAATTGAAATATAAAATCGGTCGGTAACAAGTGGGTTAAAAAGTTTTCACATATATAATCTTTAAAGATAAATTGTGTGTGTGTGAGAGAGAGAGAGAGAGAGAGAGAGAGAGAGAGAGAAAGAGTGTTAATGTCCACTCGACACATACTAGGACTTAACATGTGGTCTAATTTTATTTCAATATCATCTGCGCGTAGGAGTCTTTAACAGGGGGAGGAAACCGGAGGACCCGGAAAAAACCCACGAAGTTGACTGGCAACCTTACTCCTTGTCACTTACAAGCGAGCACTCGAAACCACGCCACTTGACTCAATGACAGTCTTTCTGATCCGCGCGTTAACCATTCGGCCATCCAATCCCCAAATTATGTAAGAGCTAAATCTGCCTAATGCAGATCTTTCGTTTGGCCTCAAAGGTTATATAAATCATTAATTAAACATTTATTTAAATGCCAGGTCCATAATCAACTCTCTAGATTTCAGATGGTTTTGATTTTGAACAGATTTAAATACGATTGGCAGTTATTTATTTAATTTAAAAATGGAAATTCGAGACCTTGTTTATTATCGTAACAACGGTAGCAATGACAATCGAGACTACACGGTTCAGCAAACGAAAATAATTCCATTCAGAGTGAAATTTTCAATATATTCCCTTTTCAATATCTATTTTTTTAACTATTAAACATTAACAGAACATCGTTATCATCAAACACATATTTATATATCAGGCTGGCAAGACTTATCGTATTTACCAGTCTTTTTACAAACCAATCCGATTAAAATACAGATCTATATTTCGTTTCGTTTTTTTATACTTTCGATGGCCTACACTACATAAAGATCTGACAAGTTATAGCGATAGGTCACGTCAGGGGTCAAAAGACCGACTTTTGACCTATGACGTCAGACATTTGATTAACCAATCAACATTGATGTTACTAGTGGATTACCCATAGTTCCGGGCAAAATAGGTCAAACACTCGATTCGACAGACCATTTGATTGGCTGACCCCCCATTTCAAGCAGAAAATAACAAGTCTACCAGATCCTAGTGTAGTAAAGACAAGTAAAATGAAATTTTGAACTATAAAAACGAAACGAAATAGGATCTGTGTTTTAACCAGATTGTTTACAAACCAACAATTTTGTTTGCGCTTCAAGACTATTTGCATGCTTAAAGTTGTGTTGGAGACACCCCCCCCCCCTACACACACACTCCTCTAACCAGTAAATATAACCATCTATTAGTCTCAAAGTGACTGAAGTATCGTGTTGACGATACATTTATATCCCAATCCAATGAAAATTCACATGAGGTAATTTGTATTCTTATTGATACCCACTGCTCTCCTTTACTTTTAGTTTTATTTCTTTATTTGTACGAGTTGGATCTCGTTAAACGAATAATAAAACCAAACTGATCAGCTAATTTTACACATAGATATGTAGATGGTTGTATTATCTTGTAAATTGGAATCTAGGGATGTTTCTACTGGGTAAGGGGGTAGCTGGGTTCTAGAGTTAGGGGAAGCGGGCATATAACAAGACACCGAATAATTTTGAATTTATTATGCTTTTTTATTTATTTATTTTTTATTTAAAAATCAAATAGGTTCAAAAAGTTAACCTAAGGCCATGTGCATGACTTCTATGGTAAACCCTTGAGAATTATTGTGAACACTTAGCGACCGTTTTTATAAACAGTTGAACCCCCTTATACAGGCTGGGCCAAAAATATGTTACCCATTCATGGATTGAGCATGTCATTAATTACTGAACCGTGTTCAGAAATAGTGATAAAATTGGACACTATTATAGTATCCAATAAAAACTTCATGCTTCTAAAAAAATTTTTTAATAAAGTACATTTACAAAAGTAGTGTACAATCAGAATGGGTAACAGGCCCACCCTGTATAAAAACAGTCTATTTCAAAATCAGTGCAAGTTCCTCAGACCAATAAAAGAGAATGCATCAAAAACTTCATATATTTTATTTCAGTGACTGGAGACAAACATAAGGGTCAATAACGATGTATTAATGTATTACATTTTTAATTATCTACGAGTCGTATACCATCTAAAGGATTTGCATTGTCCCTTTATAAAAAACCTTCCAACCTCGTGGGTTTTCTCCGGGTCCTCCGGTTTCCTCCCACTGCTAAAGACCCCTACGGGCAAGCGAATTATGTAAATAAAATTAAACCATATGTTAGTCACGAAATGACCTAGTTTGTGTCGAGTGGACGTTCAACCCCATTTCTCTCTCTCTCTTATAAAAACCTAACGTGTAAAAGCAAATAAACAAACTGCCAGTCTGATTAAATACAGGGCCCTTATTCACGAAAACTTAAACTAAGTTACAACCGAAATTTTAAGAAATACTGCAACTTCATTGGATATATGCAAATTGATTTTACTGGTCAGCCAATCGAATTGCAGTATTTCTTAAAATTTCGATTGTATCTTAGTTTAAGTTTTCGTAAATAAGGGCCCAGATCTATATTCCGTTTGGTTTTTTTTATACTTTTGATGGCCTACGCTACATGCAGATCTGACTTGTTGTCGCGTCAGAGGTCATACGAGCGAAGTAAAGACAAGTAAAACGAAATTTTTTAAACTATAAAAAACGAAACGAAATAGGATCTGAGTTTTAATCAGATTGACAAACTGCAGAACTTGTCTCCAGCTCGTCACATTTCACCACACCTTTAAAATTCTATAATATCTCTTGTAGAATTTCGACTTTCTTGTTAACATTTGAAAAAAAAAATGTTAAATGAAACGTCGTACTTATTTTTCGTCCTGCAGTACACATTTGAAAAATATGACAAAAATAAATCCTTTGTAGAATTATATTAATAAAAAATATCTTTTAAAATAAAAATATAAAACAATTATAATAATTGGCCCTTATTTGTAAATACGTAATAATACAAAAGTGGTATCAACAGTTCAAGAACAAGTAAGCATATCCTGTCCGTAACACGGCACCGTCATGAACACCAGGAACCGAAGCTACTGCGTAAACCAGTGATTCTCAACCACTGGTGTCTATGATGGATAAGTTCATAGCTGTGTTTTTCTTTATTTAGTTTGAGTCATTCTACATGTCTATGATAGTCTCTGTCTACGGTTGTGTACCGTTTGACTTATCATGTTTTTATTTATATATTTTCCATATATATTTAGCCAGGTGTGCCGCTATTTTTTCATGCGTTCCAAGGTGTGCCGTTGGCAAAAAAGGGCCGGCGGGGGGTGGGGGGGCTGAATGGTTAGCACGTGCGCGCTGTACCATAAAGTCTTTCATTGAGTCAACTGGTGTGGTTTCGATTCCCCGGTTGTACGTAAAAAGGAGTAGGGTCGCCTGTCCAACATCGTGGGTTTTCTCCGGGTCATCCGATTTCCTCCCACACTGCTAAAGACTCCTATGCGGAAGCGAATTATTGAAATAAAATTAATCCATATGTTAGTCCCGAAATGAACTAGTTTGTGTCGAGTGGACGTTAAAGCCAATTTCTCTCTCTCTCTTTGGCAGAAAAAGGTTGAGAATCACTGGCGTAGACAATAACTGCCAGCAGTAGAAAACTTGTAAAACTTGCCCCCGTATGTAATACATTGCAAAGTGTTGATATTGGATTTCGAGTTTACTTCGCGGTATATTGAAACCTCGGGAAATGTGGATGAACAAGTTAAACACTAAACAAAGCTATAAGCTACTTGTATTCTAAACCTTCGACAGTCAAGGTAAGTATAAGAGTCCCCGGTGAAACGTAGTGTATCGTTCTGTTTAACTCCTGTCACAGCTAATTCCGATAACTTCCAGACTTTCCTCTATAATCTGTTAGAATATCGACCTGCAGGCATCGCGTGGCATGGTTCCATAGACGATATGACGTATATGATGATTGAACGAGACGAATAATCCAGTCGTAAGGTACACGGCGTGTTACGGATATTGTTCACGAGTTGGGATAAATAGAGGGAAACTTGAAATCCTGTGTAAAGAATTCAATTGTGTAAAATGTTTTCTCTGAGATTAGCTATGCTGTTTGTGCTGTTAGTAGTTGAAACGTCATCAAATCAGGCCCTCGGTAAGATGTTTATTTTATTTTTTTTCTAAACATTACAAAACACTTCAAAATACATTTTCTGATTTTATTTTTAACAAAAAAAAAACGGTTTTGGTTGAATTGAAAATAAAATAAATCATTATTATTATATATAATGTGACCCCAAGTGTTCCTTTCTGTCAAGGCGGACTTAGTGTTAGTAATAGTTACAGGACGTTTTGTTACAGGGAGTGATGGTTGGTGCCGTACAAGTAACAAATAGCCCATTTGTTCTTTCTGGAACCCTTATTTGTAGACATAACCCAGCAAAGTATCGTTCAACTTCGACGCTGTTAAGGTGGACTAAGGGAGTACAGGGCCATAACTAGGTCATTACGGGACTAACATGGTTAAATTTTATTTCAATAATTCGCTTCCGCGTAGGGGTCTTTAGCAGTGCGAGGAAACCGGAGGACCCGGAGAAACCCACGAGGTTAGACAGGCGACCCTACTCCTTGTCACGTTCAACCGGGGAATCGAAACCACGCCAGTATACTCAATGACAGACCTTATGATCCAGCGCGCACGTGCTAACCATTAGCCCCCCCCCCACACACACACACCCACACACGCCACACACACACCCATACACACACACTTTATTAAGAGTTACAGTACGTTTTGGTTGCCACTTAACTTTCAGAGCTTTTGTATTTATTTTTTAGTTGTGTGTGAAATCCTTTTAAGTGGATTGATACTTGACATTGACTTGAATAAGAAATAAATGATGAAAGCGGGTCCATAGGGTAATTTAATTGATAGTTTGAGGCGAGATATATTGCGGAGGCTGTGCGTTAAACATGGCTTTGTAAGAATAACCATGATCGTATTGATAATCCATGGGGTTGAGGAACAGTTTAACCCACTTTTGTAATAATCTAACTCTTCGATTAGGTTTATAAATAAACGAATGAAAATTGTAATGATCACCAAAATAAGGTTCATAAATATTTATTAGCTTAAAATTTGTAATAATTTAAATTATTACTAAAAATAGGCATACATGTAATTACAAAATAACAAAGACCATTAGAATGGAATACAGTCACTGATTTATTATAGATGGGGGTGGTCTAAGGGGTGCACTTTAGATCAAAAGGTCTGGCATTGACTCAAGTAACGTGGCTTCGATACTACACTATACGTGACAAGAAGTAGGGTCGCCTAGGTTTTCTCCGGGTCTTCTGGTTATCTCCAACTGTTTATACTTAAAAGCGGATTATTGAAATAAAAATATATACCATATGTTAATGAAATCACCTAGTTTCTGTGGAGTGGACGTTAATCCCCCCCCCCCTCTCTCTCTCTATGTTATACTATGTCATCATCTAACCGTCTTCTTAGGACGTTAAACCCCATTTCAATTCATTTCATTTGCTATCATCAAAATTATCTTCCCTTTATCTACATCTAAAATTATTACAAAATTCCTCCCAACATACGATTATTACAAAAAATAGGTGTTATTACACAAATTGTTTCTTCAGTCAACCATTTTTGTAATGAATATTGTTATAATAATAATCTCCAAACATTTGGCTCATTGGGTTATCCATCAATGTAACTACCGTCATCGCCATCGTAGGACATTGGGTCATCATCACAATTATTTTCTATTTATTTTTAACTATAACTAAAACTGTTACGTCACTCTTCAATATATCCGATTATTACCAAATGACGTTATTACATGGTTCTTTTTGTCGGATTTTAATCCATATGATCTTTGCATAAACCCAAATACACAGTATGTCGTCGACAATGTAATCATACAATTATTGGTGATCCAGTGAGTTTGTAATATTATTTTAAAAAATCGTTGGGCCCTACACCATGGCATTAGGATACGTGCCACAATTGTCACATTGGACGATTCCGTGTGTCAAATTGGACCATTGCAAGTGGCACATTGCGCCCATAATAATGATCCAAGACATTGAGACATTTGGCTCAAAATATTAACAGCTTGGCAACATCAAAAGAGAATCAACTTCTCGTTATGCTAACATTTTCCTAATTTAATCTGTTAAAGTTATACCATACGGATGATATTTCGCACATTTGAGCGTAAGAGATTGGCCATGCCTGCTAATTAGGACAATGCTCAATTGATCTATGATTTTGTTTTCTCTCCCGACATTAGCAACAGATTAGGATAATAGTTTAAGCCTCTTATCAGCCTAGAGCAATCCGTATTGTGACATTTTATGAAATAAAAACAATCACGATATTATTTGCTGCCAGATAGCTAGACTTACTATTACTGGGAAATAAATTGTGGGTTAATATTATTTGCTTGTTGTTCCAGTCACGTAGAGATGATGTTTCTCGTGGTAACGAACTAATAATCACTTCTCTTCCCTTCATATTATTTGACAACTTTTCACTTTATCAGTTATTGCCAATAATCTCGTGCTCTCCTATTCAACCATTGAATATGACACGTTCTTTGCAATTTGATCACCTCTCATATTGAATGAATAATAACTGGAATTTCTGAGATCGTTTACTTGTAATAAAACGTTTGCCTTTTCTTTTTCACTTTTACCATGACACGTCCATTGTGATTTGGTCACCTCTCATATTGAATGAATGATCAATGGAATTTCTGAGATCTTTCGCTGGTAATAAAACGTTAGCCTTTTTCTTTTTCACTCCTATCCGTGGTTGTAATGGCATGTGGTTTAATTGGCATTGGATTGAATTTCATTATTCGTCAATGATTAATGTCCTTCCATTGATGGAGATTTATAGAGAAATGTCACGGATGGTCCTTCGTATTTATGTGTCAACGGGTGTTTAGCGATTATAATGTGGCTAAATGCATTTCTGTTTTGCATGGACAGAAATAGACGATGGTTCAGCTATTAGTGCTAAGTAAGACCAGTGCGTGGTGATACCAGGTTTGCCGTAGGAGGTAGTAGTGGTGGGTGTTAAACATGAAATGGGGTTAATCGTTCTAATTTTCTGCACCGACTGGACTAATGAAAAGAAATTTTTACCCGGACAGCGGCACTGTGGCCTATTCCAATTGTCAATGTGTACACGGGTGCACGGATGTTAGTACCATCCAAACGACTAGACAGCTTTCCTTGCCAGGCTCTCCTTCCCACATCAATGACAAGAGGAATCACGCTGAAAAATCCCGAGGTAATTTCTCGGTCAATACTGGGATCGAACCCGAGTACCCAAGGCTAGCGAGAAAGTAACTTACACACTGAGTCACCGCGGCTCAATAATGAATGTTAAATGAAACGAATGGTAGAATTAAGTATTTGGATGGGGCGTAGTTCAAGTTGTATCAGCGGTGAAAGGTGGGTCCAATTTTGAAGGTAAAGTTTAAATTCTGATGGTAAATGAGAATGTTGATATCAGGTTTTTAGTGTGGATAGAAATTTAATTTAGATACTGGTGGTAAATGATAATAGGATCAGGGGTTAAGGATAGTTTAGATACTGATGGTTAACGAGAATAGTACCAGGGTTGAAGGTACCAATGGTAAATGAGAACAGTATCAGGGTTGGATGATAGTTCAGATACTGATCGTAAATGGGGAAGTATCTGGGGTGGATGATAGTTCAAATTTTGGTGGTAAATGAGAATTGTATCTGGGGTTGAGGATAGTTTAGATACTGATGGTAAATGAAAATGGTATCAGGGTTGGATGATAGTTCAGATACTGATAGTAAATGATAAAGTTATCGGGGGATAGAAGGTAGTTCAGATACTGATGGTAAATGAAAATGGTATCAGGGATGGACGTTAGTTCAAATATTGATGGTAAATGGGACTAGTATCAGGGGTGGGTGGTTTTTCAGATACTGATGGCAAATGGGAATGGTATCAGGGTTGGATGATAGTTCAAATATTGATGGTAAATGGGAAGAGTATCTGGGGTGGATGGTGTTTCAGATACTGATGATAGATTGGATTAGTATCAGGGGTGGGTGGTGGTTCTGATACTGATGGTAATTGATAAGGTTATCACGGATAGAAAGTAGCTCAGATACCAATGGTAAATAAGAATGGGATCAGGATGGATGATAGCTCTGATACTGATGGTAAATGAGAATGGTATCAGTGTTTGATGGTAAATGAGAATACAATTAATGCGCGATGTGTAGTTCAGGCTAGTAGGCGGAGTGGAGATAAGATAGCAAATGTGTTAGATGACTTCTGTTGAGACAAAGTAACATTTCAGTCTCATAAATAAACGCATCAAAAAGACCCTTCTTTATATTGCAGGACAACATAATGACTTTTCATGTATTATTAACCTATGATTTTCTATGCAAACACATTTGTCACTTCACAGAGATTTCAGACTTGTTGATACAATAATCTAGTGTGTTCTTTGTTATCAAGCAGGTAAAAAATATCTTTGATCTCGCCGCTAATCTATTTACGGTGTGTATTGTAAGAACCGTGTTACACTGATCAATATCTAGACAATGGTGTCATAATCGATCATCAAGCTTTTTAATGTCAGGTAGAAAGTCAATTTCCATGGCAGGAGTTAAACTTGATGGAACAAAATTATTTTTCCGTGATTTACACCAACTGCAACTGGATATAGAGCTCCCGTTTATCGCTGCTTTTGTTATACGGAGTGATGGGTGGCTTTTAGGAAACCAGATAATGCATTTATTCTTTCTTGAAATCTTCTTAAATTTGTATCTAAAGACACGGCTACGCCTGTAACCAAAAGATGAAGGCCACGAATATTATCCTTTCTCGCCACACAATTCCCACCCCATGATGGACTGGCTCCTCCGACAAGTTTCCCCCGGAAGCGTTTATCTCCGATATCGCCCTCGGCGAGGAGGACGTTAAGATCCATGATCGTTGGACTTTGGGTTTAGTCAATGGACTCATCTGTCTCCATTCTAGAAGGATTTTTTCTAGGTTGTAACTTAGCAACAAATGAGTAACAATTCTAGGTTTCATTCTTAATAATTGGGCTAATGAAGACGGGCTTACGC